GGCGCATCCTTCTAGGCCTCACCCTCCTAGCCACTTCACTCCCACTTCTCGCAATGGGGGACGCTGCAGTCGTACCATGCATCTCGTACTCAACTGTACCGGGATACTTCCTGCAAGACGATCCCGCGGTTGACCCAAAAACCTTTGACTACGTATGGACGCCTCTCTCTGTTTCACCGACATCCTTATAACAATGTATATAGGCGAAGGAAGGCTTCGGGTTGATCGATCAAGCTTACGATACCGATGAGACCCTGGATGCAGAGCTGAAGAAGCTCCCCTGGCCAAGGTTCGAACATAAAGTCCGCTCCCTGAACAAGCATGCGGCTTCAAACGTTCGGTTCGCCGTTCTTTTCCTGGGTAGACATGGCCAGGGATTTCACAATGTCGCTGAAGCTTACTACGGAACCAAAGCCTGGGACGTAAGTATATATCCGCTTGCATTTACTCGTGTACTGACAATTTATAGGAGTACTGGTCTAAATTAGACGGCAACGGAACGATTACTTGGTCCGATGCCCATCTCACTGAAGAAGGTATCAGCCAAGCGAAAGTTGCTCGGGATACCTGGGCTGCTCAGATGAAGAACTCCATCCCTCTCCCAGAGGTGTATTATACCAGTCCGTTGGACCGATGTCTTGCTACTGCAAAGTTCACCTTCAGTGAACTGGAACTCCCTCCATCTAAGCCATTTATTCCAACTGTAAAGGAGGTAAGTTGATACATACTTGTCGCTACGTTACCTAGTAATGTGGTTCAGATGCTAAAGAAAATTTATAGCTCCTGCGGGAAACACTTGGTGTTCATACGTGTGACAGACGTAGCTCCAGAAACTATATCGAAAGTACTTACCCAACGTACAAAATAGAGCCTGGATTTACACAAAAAGATATGTTGTGGGACCCTGAAGTGCGAGAATCAGACTCTGATCGAGATGCTCGTTTGAAGAAGCTGCTTGATGACATCTTCTCCCATGACAAGAGCACATTCATGTCCCTCACTGCCCATGGGGGAGCCATCAGGTCAATCCTTAACGTCATTGGTCATCGTGAATTTGGCTTACAGACCGGGGCTGTAATTCCTGTTCTCATTCGGATCGAAACTAGCACCGATGTCCCCGAGGAACCAGAGGAGGATTTGACTATCAAGATTCAGGGTCTTAATTAATGGATAGGCATAACCCATAGAGAGACTTACATTCTTGGCAATTTAAGTTAGGATTTATGAATAGAAAACCGATGTATATGACAACCATCTAATTGACGAATCCATGATGTCAGGAGTCCACCGAAACCTACTTGGATAATGGAACAGAATATTGCAATGGTAAATCCAGTGCTCTATTTTTGCTATGTACAATCCATCGAAGATAGGGAACTATATACAGACACATTTCTCAAAATGTAGATTCCGGTCGACAGAGTCTACGAGAATGGTCATTAGGGGAAGAGGCATTTACAAGTTGGAAGCCATGCCGAGCTCGGTCATGAAGCCAAGAGCAACTTTGGCGTGCTCGAGCATGTGGTCGAAGTCGAGGTATTCAACGGTGTCGTCAGCAGAGTGAATGTGTGGGTTGGAGTCCTCGAAAGCGGTTTCGGCAACCATGGATGCTGGGAAACCGTTGCGGTCGGCAGAGGCGTGGTCAGAGCAGGCGTATCCACACTCGGTGTCGACAATTGGGATGGAGGCATACTACACGGTTTGTGATGTTAGAACAGAGATGGTACGAGTAGGTATGAGTTAAGCCGGTAGGCTATGGGGACTTACTTTCTCAACAATCATCTTGCAGAATTGGTTCAGCTCCTGGTTGGTGTTATCGGTAATGAGGCCAAACTGCTCCTGGCCCTGGCCTTTGAAACCAGCAAGGTCCTGGTTAAGCATAGCCTTGACCTGACGACCATCGCTCTTGTACTTGCTGAAGACAGTCTGGGAGCCCAAGAGGCCACCTTCTTCACCAGCATACCAGTGGAACTCGAGGGTGTTGGTGTTGTTAGCGGCGCGGAAGGCCTTGGAGCCCAAAACTCCTCGGAGAGCCTCAAGAACAACAACGGATCCACTTCCGTTGTCATCAGCACCTGGGGCACGGCCACCCATAGGATCTTCCTGGTTGATACTATCCTGGTGAGCTCCAACAATGACAGTGGACTCAGATGATCCAGGGATAGTGGCAATGATGTTGAATTGGTTGAATTGGTTGTCGATCTTCTCTACCTTGGCACCCTGGGCACCAGACTCATCAATAACCTTCTTGACTTGCTCCATCAGCCAGTTGGCAGACTCAACACCGGTCTGAGATTCATAGTAACGGTTGTTGAACTCAGACATGGCCTGCAGGTCACGCATGAGGTTCTCCTTGGAGAGGTTGGCGATCATAGAGGAAACCATGGAGGAGTGGGCAATATTTTTGGGGTAGTTGGCAGCCACAGGCTTGGTGGCAACGAAGTTAGTGCCGATTTCATTGGTGATATCAATGAAGGTTTGTCCAGCCTAGGTACGGAGTATGTTAGCAGGAATAGCTTCCTGTTTTCGGTTATTAATACAATGGGACCACGTACAGCCCTCATCTTGTGCTTCTGATCCTTGGTAACCCATTGTGTCTTTCCTGGGCCAAGCTCGATCAAGTACTTATCACCTGATGGGCGAACGGGGCCAGCAACAGCGACTGCAGTGAGGGCAGCAACGGCAGCGATAGCAAAGACCTTCATATTGAATTGGATACTAAAAACAACTGAAATGAAAAATAAAAAAGTATGTATCAAGAACGGAAAGAATTCGTATCCTGCCAGCTGACCGAATAGAAGGAAGGAAAGAGAAGAGTCTCTGAAAGGAAGTGGAAAGATACGAGCTTTAATATCTTTTCCACGGCTTTGAGACGGCTATATTTATACTCAGGGCCATCCCGTGCCTCTACTCACGTTCGGAAGAGAGTAATAAGAAATAAGGCCTAGGAGTGGACTGATGCAGTTGCAATCTGGGGCAGCGGGGCCGAGGAGAGACGCTCCGTTCAGGGCACCAGATCGTCCATGTTACAGAGGATCAACGCCCGCCAGCCACCAGCTAGGAAGGACGTGAAGGAGGAGTTCCATGACCAGGGACACGAGAGCTGTCTGCCAAGAGTGCCCTGATAGGATGAATAGCGGCTGATCCTGAGTTTAATATCCATACTTAAACTCCGTAAATATACAAGGACTTGTATATTTTTCCGCGTCACTTCCGTATGGACAGTGTAACCAAGGGGATACGGGAGGACTGAACACTTTCCCTTGGAGAGTCGAGGGGGGGTATTATTATTATAAGCACTTTATCTGAGAAGAATGTATAAGCCTGTCCCGGGACAATTCCCAGCCATCATTTATCTCAAGCGCCTGTCCTTTGGGGTATAGAAGGCCGAAACAGACCGAAGCGCGCTTCAAAATACTGGGCCTTGCACGGGTTGCGTGCATGAAGCTGATAAGGTCTGGGGTATCGCCGGGGTCCCCGGGATGAAACGTCAGCGAAAAAGCTCGTCTCGCCCCATCCGCGCATCCTTGGCCAAAAATGAACCCGGTTCTCCCCACCGTCAGGGCCAAACGCCATCACGAGGCAGGCAACAACGCCGTGGTAAGTGCAGAGAGTGGTTCGGC